TGCTCGGCAAGCACTCTGCCTCTGAGCTACAGCCCCAGCCCCGAGTTGTAAGAGTCTTTTACATATTCTGGATACAAGTTCCTTATCAGACATTATTTGCAAATGTTTTCTTCCACTCTGTGCATTGTCTTTTTACCTTCTTGGTAGTATCCTTTGAAACACTCAAGTTTTTTATCTTATGAAGTTCATATATTTTTTATTTTGTTGCTTGTGCTTTTTGTGGCGTATCTAAAAAGATGGATTGCCTGATCCAAGATTACAAAGATTTAGCCCTATGTCTTCTCCTGAGAATTTTATAATTTTAGCTCTTACATATAGGTCTATGACTTATTTGAAGTTAATTTTTGAATATGGTTTTAGAGGTTTTGTTGCATATGGTTTTCCAACTGTCCTAATACCATGTTGTTAAAAAACCTTCTTTATCTACTGAATTATCTTGACATCCCTGCTTAAAAATCAATTGACCATAAATATAAAGATTTATTTCTGGACTCTCAATTCTATTCCATTAATATATATGTCTATCTTTATGACATTACTACGCTATCTCAATTACTATTGAAATTGAGAAGCATAGACTCTCCACCTTTGTTCTCTTTCAAAATTGTTATATCTTTGCATAACATAGTGCCACAATATGGATGGTTTAAATGATAAAAAATTGCAGTTACAAAGGTTGAAAGTCTAAAATCAAAGTGCCATCAAGTCTGGTTCCCTGGTTCTTCTGAGTGCTGTGAAGGAGAATCACTCAGGACCTCTCTCCTAGCTTGGGGTGGGTAGTCATGGTCATACCTTGGCTTGCCGTCCACCCTGTCTTTACATAGTCTTCCCTCTGTACGTGTCTGCCTCTATGTACAAATTTTTCTGTAAACAGGGATACCAATTATTTTCAATGAGATCCCACCCTAATGGTTACCTCTGTAATCATCTTAATTACCCTTTTTTGGGGGGGAGGGGTGTTTGTTTTGTGGCACTGGGGACTGAACCCAGGGGTGCTCTACCACTGAGCCCCTTTTATTTTTTATTTGGAGACAGGGTCTCTCCAAGTTGACAAGTCTGGCCTCAAACTTGTGATCCTCCTGCCTCAGCCTCCTGAGTAGCTGGGACTACAGACATGCACCATCACACCCAGCTTAATTTAAGTATTTTTGTTAAGACCCTTTTCTCCAAATAAGATCACCTTCTGATCTGAGGGTTAGAAGACACTGTGTGCTCATCTGTGAATTTTTCATTCTTATTCTTACGAGATTAACAAAGAGCCTAGTAGCAATGAAATGAATTTTAATAACTAACATCTCCATAGTGCTTAATCTCTGTCCGGGCTACTGTGTACACTAACACACTCAGTCTTCATGACAGTCCTGGGAGGCAGGTGTGTTAGTCAGCTTTTTATCACTGCGACAAAAATACTTGACAGGAACAACTTAGAGGAGAAGTTTTTTGGGGGGCTGATGGTTTCAGAGGTCTTAGTCCATAGACAGCTGCTGGCTCCATCGATCTGAGCCTGAGGTGAGGCTGATCATCATGGCAGAAGGGCATGGAGGAGGAAAGCAGAAGCTGGGAAGCAGGAGGAGAGGGGCAGGGGAAAGATAAACCCTCCCAGGACCCACGGTGACCTACTTCCTCCAACTAGATCCCACCTGCCAATAATCCATTCAGCTATCAATGAACTAGGAAAGGGGTTGATCCACTGATGAGGTCAGGGCCCTTATGACCCAATCATTACCTTAAAGCCTCACCCTAAACCTTGCTGCTTTGGGGATCATGCTTTTGACACATGAGCTTTCAGGAACACATTCTGGATCCAAACCACACTAGTAGGTTATTASGATTCTTTGTTTATGGATTAGAAAACTGAGGCACAAAGAATTTAAGTACCTTGTCCTGGGTTGTGTACCTAGTAAGTGGCAGAGCCGAGACTTAAACCCAGGGATTCAGGCTTCAGTGCTCTAAATTATAACTTATATAAGGCTAACATTTGACATTTTTAACTTTGCCTGTAGCTCCTGCTATAGCCCCTGGAAGTCTTAATGTTATTCCATAAAAATATTGAAAAACTTTCTCTCATTTTCTGTGGTACTACCATCAACCACTGCCTGTTGCACGTGATGCTACTGTTCCCAGTCACCTTTACCCCCCACACCAATTTGAGGCTTATCTTTTGAGGTCTTTGGACTTGTGGGTTTGTCCATAATRAGTGTATGGACACAGGGTTGTGAACACGCTCCTGCCCTGTCCAGAGCTGGGAATGGGGAGGGCTGTGGTCCAGCTGTACTGAGAGGGCCTTGGTTGTCCCCACAGGCCTGGGGTATTCTGGATAAGATGGAACAGATGAGCCAGGAGGACATGAAGGCCTTCTTGAGACKCTTCTTGACTGATTCGGTGAGCAAGAAGCAGGGGGAGGAGGCCGGTAGGTATCTGATCCAGCACAGTCTCAGCTCCTACCCTTCACCCTCACAGATACCCAAMCTTCACCAAGCCCCTTGACCCAACTGCTGAATTTTAGTTCCACTGAAGGATCCCCTTAGACATGAGTCAATRTGGTTCTCAAAGGAAAATCATCATCCCCATCATCATCATCGTTGTCGTCACTGTCACTGCTCCTTAATAAGTAGAACATCCTGTGTGCTGGGGACTGTGCTATCCTGAGCACAAGGATAGGCATTCGTGTCCTTCATTCATCCCAGCACGTCTGTGAAGTCGGGACTTTTATTATCTCCATTTTACAGATAAGGAAACTGAGGCTCATGGTAGATGAGAAGAGACAGATCTTGAGTCAGCTCTGTCTAACCCCAGAGCCTAAGCTGTTAGATGCCAGATGGAATTAGGGTCAGACCCCAGCCCTGGTCACTTTCCCAGTTATCCCAACCACTCCAAGTCCATGTCTACTCTTCTGTGCTGGAAACTTCACAAACCTGCCAGGCAAAGACGGCCTTTCAGAGAGGCTCAGTCACCCTGTGGAAAGTCACACAGTCAAACAGTGGCCACAGAACTAGGATTTGACTCCAAACCTGAGCTTATCCTACCCAGACACCATCTAGAACTCCCAGAGAAGCAGGGAGACAGGTGGCTGAYCCCTGGAATATGAGCTCTGGCATTTGAGGGAACTTATGCTGGAGAGCATAGGGCTTCTTGGGAAGGTCTGTCACAGTTATGGGAACTGAGCAGGCCTGAGCATGACCTCTTGCCCCAGGATGTGCCCCCTGAGATGATGTTCACCATCATAGATGAATACATAGACAATCACTCAGATGCACAAGCCAGATGCCACAGCTTCCAGGAATTGATGGCTGACATCCTTTTCTACATTCCCACCTTGAATTTCTCAAGAAATCTCCAGGGTAAGCCTATCCCTGACCATCTGCCCCAACCTCTCTACTTGAGCCCAGGAGCTGGTTATCACAGGTAACATTACCCTGATGCCCTTTGTCTTAYACCCTTCTGCCACTCCCAAAGCCCTCTCTCTCTGGGATGTAGCATCACAGTAGTGAGAGGTATCTCTGGCAGGATACCTTGCAAAGGAGAAAACAGAAGCTCAGAGAGGTACAGTGATTCATCAAAGGTCACCCAGAAGGGCTCTTCACAATCCTCAGGGGTTAATTCAACGTATGAATAATTTTGTCTTCTTTTCATGCTTCTCCTGGGAGACATCTTGCTTCCATCAAGCCCGGCTGTCATTCCCTGACACAGTTCTAGAATAGCTCCAAGTTCTTAACTTGGTGACCTCCAGAAAGATACTGAACTATTCTGTGCCTGGCTTTCCTCATTTGTAAAACTGGGATAATCTGATTCAAAATTGTTATGAGGATTAAATAACTGATCACACTTATAGCTCATGGAGCAGGGACCCAACACCTAGCAGTAGTTCAGTAATGCTTGCTGCTAATCATGTTATCTTCATCATTTCTATGATTAAGATTGATGTTTTCACAAGTTTGTGCAGCCAAAGGCAGGCCCTGATCATGCTRTGGGCACCTAACTCCGATCCTGCCCTTTTTCTACAGATTCTGGAGGCTCCGTCTTTCTCTATGAGTTCCAGCATCCACCCAGTTCTTTTGTGAAGATCAAACCAGCCTGGGTCAAGGCTGACCATGGAGCTGAGAGTGCCTTCATGTTCGGGGGTCCTTTCCTCATGGATGAGCGCTCCCTCCTAGGTATGGGCAGACAGACAGACAGACATGCAATTCCTGGGCTGCTGTGCTCCAAGGTTCCAGAGTGGGCTTGTCGGGACAGAGGTCTCCAGCCAGCTGCAGAGACCCTTGGATTCCTTCCAGGTCCCTTCTGACCCTGATCCAGGTCTAATTCCCCCATCCCCCAGCCTTTCCAGAGGCCACAGAGGAAGAGAAGCAGCTGAGCCTCACCATGATGGCCCAGTGGACCCACTTTGCCCGAACAGGGTGAGTGAATGAGCATGATGACTGGCTTTGAACCTGAGATTTGGGGACTGAGACATTCAGATCTGCCCCCAAGAGGGTCAGCACAAAAGGCCTTGGTTCTCATTCATTCCTGTCTCCCAGGGACCCCAATGGCAAAGGGCTACCTGCTTGGCCCCGGTTCAGTAAGTCGGAGCAATACCTGGAGATTGGCCTGGTGCCACGAATCAGGCAAAAGCTAAAGGAGGCCCGAATGCAGTTCTGGACGGAGACGCTCCCCAGGAGGATCCAACAGTGGCACCAACAGCAGAAGAGCAGGAAAGTCTCAGAGGAGCTCTGAGGCAGGCCTGGGCCTTCTAGACTAGGACCAACCCAAAGGTTATCAAAGTTCCAGGAAGGGGATTCCACCTTCTGGGTCCCCTTCTTCCTCCTGGAGAAGTCTTTTCTTCTGTCCTTTAATAAATTTCTAATCTCTACTCTGACCTTGCCTTGGCGTGCTTCTTTGGTGTTATTCTTCAACATCGGGGAAGCAAGGACTCGTCACCGGCCAACAGCGGTAACATATTGGAGGTCCCATACCGAGATTCTACACTGAGACCACCCATCACTCAAATGGCCCTCCAGCCTATCATGGACCACTCCATAGACCCGATTTTTAAAGGGGACTCCAAACTGCTTGCCCCACACACCGTCCCTTTTCAGCCTGAAGAAGCCAGAAAGATCTTCTTCGCCCCCTTTCCTTACAGCAGTAAGGAGTTCCCAAATTAGAGGGGGGAATGAAGCCAGATTTAAAATTAGGTAGTCAGTGTAGTTAGGTAAATCGGGTCTAATAYCGAGTGAAATCTAAAATGGAGGCCATGCTGGGAATGACTCAGGGAAAACACAGAGGACAATTCATGGAATGTTAATGAAGTCCTGAAGAGGCCCTAGGCCAAAGTCCACCTGGAAGAAGTATTAACCAACAGCCCCAACAGATCTGGAGATAGCCCATCACCAAGGAGTGATAATGAAGTCCTTCCTGCTCAGACCACTTCTTTGGCCCACCTGTGTCCCACCCCTCGGGCCTTCCAACCTACATTCCATCACTGAAAGAACTATAAAAAGGGGAGACAACTGCACTTCCACGGATTCCACCTTCTGGGTCCCCTTCTTCCTCCGGGAGAAGTCTTTTCTTCTGTCCTTTAATAAATTTCTAATCTCTACTCTGAAAAAAAAAAAAAAAAAAAAAGTTCCAGGAAGGCGGCCTCTTTTTCTGCTCCTGCCAAGACACTTTAATCTAACCTAGGCTATTCCAGGCTCATGTCCCTTAAAACAGCCTCTCCCATCAATCAGCCTCTGCAAGACTGGTGTAGCACTCTATCGAAATGTCACCAGTCTACTTCCTGCCTCTGGGCCTTCATACAAGTTCCTGCTTCTCCCTAATATGTCCTGCCACTGGCTTCGTGGCAATTTCCAGCACATTCTTCAAGCTCTCTGGAGAACCACTTTCCCCAGGAAGCCTTTCCAGCCTTCCCCCAGCCACGTGGTCCTGAATAGGTGTTCATTAAACYACAGCCTGCCCTAGGTTCACACTGTCTATGTCTGGGTCTTTGTCCCCACCAAAGAAGGTCTCTGAAATTGAGGATCACCCTGACCTTACTCTGCCATCCATAACAGGATGGGGCAGGATCTGGACCCAGGAGATATTTGGAGGGTAAATGGCAGGCAGAGAATTTGTGAATGATGGCTGTTGGACTTGAACTCAGGCCCCTCAGGGGCCACAGCCATGGTCAGTCCCCCACAGGTGTTATCTGCCCTGGCCAGGAAGGTGGTTTTCGAAAGCATTTCGGGAGTATGGAAGTCCTGGGACACCAGGGGGATCCAACTTAGACGAGATTTTAGCCCCAGAGGCCTCCTATTAAGGCTAAGTCCCCTTCTCTCTGCCACCTGGTTTTGGCTCCTACATAACAGAACAGAATTCAGCAGAGCAACTAGGCAAACTCACTAGACACAGTCTTCTCCAGTTACAGCCTTGACACTCAGGAGCTGGGATACAAGCTCCCAGCCCTAGTGCCTGGGTTCTTCCCTCTCTTCCCTGGGGGAAGATGAGGCTGGGAGGGTAACTCAGTGGTAGTGTGTTTGGCATGTGTGGAGCCCTGGGTTCAATCCCCAGAACCATTTAAAAAACAAATCTGGATTTTTATATTCTCCCAATGTCTTCCCTTGCCCTACTACCCTATTTTACCTGTTCCAATCCCACACCTACTCTTTCTCAGCCAGAGTTCCTGGCTATTGATAGTTACATGAAAAGCATTTGCAACTAGGACTATTATGTTCTGGGAAAAACCACTTGGGGCAGGAAGGAGAGACACAATGCCAGTGGGGTTCTGAGTCATGCCACTCCCCTGCCAAAAGCTCCCTGTGACTTCCTGTCTCCCTGAGGTCAAGTTCACATGGCATTGAAGTTCTCCTGTTCTCAACACCTCCCCTCCACCAGAAAAGTTTTCCCCATGAACTGGTAGAGAGCCTGACCAGTAAACAGGCCCCATGTGTGTTTCTGGAACTCAAAAAGCTGTGAAAACACAGACATAGACCAGTCCAGACTTGGGGGACAGGGAGGAAGGAAGGACACCTAAGCAGAAACCTGAAAAAATCAGAGGGTACTCAATGTGTTRGCCAGAGTAGTAGACTACAGGGGAGAAGTGTGCCTGGAAGAGGGGACAGCAGGAACCGGGGACCAGAGGACAAGATGTGCTGAGGGAATGTAGCTCTGAATAGGTGGAAAGATAATCAAAGATCAGACTGCAAGGGGCTCATAGGCTRTGATGGGGATGTGGGCTTGAGAGCAACTGGAAGGTTTTAACCAGGGAAAACTTGTGAAGATTTGTCATTTGGAAGAGGGTGCTGGGGTGTAGAGGCTGGGACAAGAAGAGAAGAAAGGGGCCAATATGGGCCTGTGGGTAGATGGAGAGGCACTGGTGGCCTCTTGATTTTAAATCTTCAGAAAGTCTTATGACTGATGGGTCATAAAGGTAAGGGGAGGAAGGTTCCCCAGGATCAACCTCCATAAAAGTCAACAGAAGTGGCACTGGGAACCAAGGTTCTGATTTGTGCAGAGTCGTCATCCTCCAGGCCTGAAGGTACAGGCTGAATGGCAGCCGTGGAGGAACCTCATCAGCTTCCATGTCACCGTCACCAGCAGGCCTCTAAGTGTSTGAATCAGCCGGTGAACACTTAGACCCTGACCGCACACAGGGAGAGAGGGGATTGGCTGGCACCACCCCCAGCATCTGGGAAAAGCACCCCTACAAAGCTGATGCTCTGGGGACTCCAATCCTCTTGTCTCTCTCTTCTCTCTTCTCTGGGTCACTGTCCCTGAGGCTCACCTCCTGCCCCTCTCCTGCCTTTCAGAGTATCCTTGACCAACTGATGTTCCYGACCCAAGGACCCAGCAGCCACACATAACTGAGGGGAGAAAGTCACAGAGTTAGACAGACATGGTCCTGCAGGGCATGGACTGGTRGACCCAGAGAGCCTCCATGTGGCAGGGCCATAGGAAGGGCCATAKGATGGTTGAGCACCAGGGGGCGTTGCAGCACCAGAAGCACTCACATGAACACAAACAGGGACGTGGCCTAAGCAGATGTTCACAGTGAATGTGCACAAGCCTGTACAAACCCAAGGACAAGCTTGGTACAGCACATCAGCAGTCTCATATATACATGCTCACTGATAGAGTTCCAATCCAGTTTGRCCACTTACTGGACGTGAACATTTGGAAAAGTTCTTTATCCTCTCTGTTACTCAGTGCTCCCATCTGTAGAATGGGGACGATATTGATTCCCTTCACACGTCTGCTGTGAGCATTTGAAGAAACATTGAACATAAAGTATCTAGCATGGTGTCTGACACCCRGAAAATGCTCAACAAATGCTCCCTGGTTTAGGTATGGGCCCAGACTCCAATTGCACTGGGGGAAAAAAATCATATGGCAACGTCCMCTACCACAAAAGGTGAAAGAATGCAAGGATGTTAGGGTGTCATGACTTTCATCTGGGCCTCTTCCACCTAAAAATAACTTTTGGACTTGTGGCTGTCCAGAAGAGTCATCAGGTACAGCCCTATGGCATCCTGAATGGCAGGCTGAGTGCTCTATGGGAGCCCCTGACCCTTCCTGGGGGTCTCAGGACAGCCGTGGTCTAAGTCCCTCCCCATTCTGCCTGTAGCCAGCCACGTTGGACTTGCCATCTCCCACCTGCATACAGGTTCCCAGCCTAGCCTGCCCAGGCTCTGGGAAGGCRGTTGCAATGACAGAAACTTGTTAGAAGATGCCATCTCTGCTGCCTGGAAATAGCAGCACCCAGTCCCACCTCTCCCCCTCTCCCTGCCCTGGACCTCAAACCTCGCTCTGATTAGCTCCAGGTCTCTCATGCCTGGGGGCATTAATGCCCACTAGAGCACATCCTCGGGTTGGGGTTGCCCCTCCCTACCGTCCCTCAGCTGGACCTCCATGATTCCAAGGGCCTTGACCAGGGCCTTAGGGCACAAGGCAATAGTTGGCAGTAGGAATGAGGTGGGGTCCAGCCACCAGAAGACCGGCTGAGCTGTCCTCTGAGCCCAAGCTCATCCCCTAGTTCAGGCCTCTGGGCAGTCCTCCTTACAGATTAAAAAACTRAGACCCGGGAGAGGGGAAGTCCTTTTGCCCAAGACCTTGAAGAGGCAGACCTCATGYTCATGTTTGTGGACCTCCAAATGGCAAGTCTTTCCCCTTCCAGAATTTGTCCTCCTGTCTAGAGTACGCTTTCCTGATGCTGGAGTTGGAGTCTTGGAGTTTGTGATTCTAATTAGTAGCAAGGCCAGCAAGGAAGGCCTAGTTGAGGGTGGGAGATGGCATTGTAAGGCAATGGCCTCAGACTAYAGCTGCTCAGCCCACAGACTTGCCACAGACTTCTCTCACCAAGACCCTGGGGTTGGCCAGTGTGCACAAGGACCACCCGAGCTGACTTCATGGCCTCAACCCCACTAACTGGGTGTGCAGATGTGGAAGGTGCTGCSGAGTGAAGGGCTAAGTTGAGCCTCCCTCCCCAAGGAGCATCCAGGTGCCCTTCATCCTGATCTCCAGGCCCCATGCCACCCCCAGCACCATTTGAGGCTYCAAGGACTAGAACACTCTGAGCTGACCATAGTTCCACTTGGATGAGRTGAGCACAATGGAAGACAAAGGGCCTCCAGGGCCTCAGAGGAGACCAGGCAACCCTCAGAATAGACCAGACCCACTGGATGCAGTGGCACCYGCCTATAATCCCAGCAGCTTGGGAGGCTGAGGCAGGAGAATCATGAGTTCGAAGCCAGCCTCAGCAACAGTGAGACACTAAGCAACTCAGTGAGACTCTGTCTCTAAATCTTAAAAAAAAAAAAAAAAATGTATAAAAAGGGCTGGGGATGTGGTCAGTGGTTGAGTGCCCCYGAGTTCAATCCCAGGTACCCATTAAAAAAAAAAAAAAAAAGAAAGAAAAGAATAGACCAGATCCAGGGATCTCAGAGCAACAGGGCTGACTAGGTGGCCCGAGTTCCATCACCCCTGGCCTATTCCCCGAGGGCTAGAGCCCAGCCTTTGTCAGGACCATCCACCAGGGAAGGAGTTGCTGTCCCAAGGGCTGGAAGCAGTGTGACTAGGGAAAGTCCCTATCAGACTTTGTTTCACTGTGACCCTTATAAGATGGCTAGGACCTGGCCCCTCCCAGACTTCCAGATCCTCATGCATGCCTCAATCCCCAGAATCTCCAGTGTACAGGGCTGTGGTCTGGCCTTCATGYGGCTAGCTTGAGGTACACCTAGGTCTCTGCCTGAGCCTAGGGGGCATTTGAAAAGTGCCAGGTCAGAGTTCTGGGAAACAGACAGCATTGGCTGCAGAGTAGGAGGGCCTTGAAGGTACATGGGACTTCTGAAGCGAGGATTGGGACTGCTCCGTGCTGAGATCTCCTGAAAAATACAGACATGTGGTAGAAATTCCTTGGTTATCTCCCAGTTGGACCAGACACTCCACAAGGGCAGGCTCAGATCTGAGCCTCTCTGTACCCTTAAGCCCAGGCACTTCCAAGCTGTGGGCTAATCCCCATGTGGGAGTTGCTGGGAGCCAGGCTCTGGGCTGGGGCTCTCCATGAGTTTAGGCAGGTCCCTTCTCTCACAGAGGGCTTAGATTCCCTATTTACCTAATAAGGATGGGTAAGTTGGTCTCATGCAAGAAGCTGCAGGGGTCTGGCTCTGTCCTGTAGGGATATGCATCCAGAAGGGCACCCTGGAAGGTGATAAACTTGGTTTTGGAGGATAACTAAAAGTTCACCTGTTTGACAATGTAGGGAAAGGCATTTCAGATAGCGGAAACAGCAGGAACAAAACAGCTTTGCCCCCACCCATTTCTTTGGTGTAGTCAGTGGCAAATATATTTCTGTATGATGTAGGCCCAATAGTGTACTACATGCACATTATTTGGTACAATTGCCTTTTGAATCAGTTAAGAATATAAAAGGGAAAAAACACACTCATACTGTCTTTTGTACTACAACTTTTCTCTTTAAACAGGAAAATAGCTACAAACTTAGGGGACTAGGGGAACATCAGTGTCTAGGACATGCAGAATGCCCTGTAGTCCTGTCCACTATACTTACCRGTAACTTATCTAATCCTCACAGCAACCCTCAGAATTAGCCATTGCTGGCTCCATTTTACAGATGGGACCACTGAAGCTTAGAAATGTACTCTGTGATACGTGGATGGTGAGCAACTAGTTGACTTGAAGTCCCCACCTGTCCCACTCGGAAGTTAATCCCCATTCCACATCTGGGGCTATTTTCCCTCTATCGGAGGAAACTTTTACCCAGAGATTCAGGGAAGTAATATCCTGGCTTTCTTCTGAGAGCTGATTCTTACACCTAAGATAATATTGCATGGGGGACACCTGAACACCATCAAGGTATCCAGCCTATCAGAAGTATTTCCCATATGGGCCAGGTGAAAGGTCACTACTTCTGTGGGGAAAGGTGTCAGGAGTGGAGGCAGCTGTTGATTATTGGTTGTTGAGGCCCACACAGAACCGGCCAAGAAACTGCACAGCTGGGACGGGGAGTCATTGTGTGACTGGCCCCCAGGCCTGGCAGGTGGACTCACAATCTTGTCTGCCTTCTCCACTTCTCCCCTCCCCTGTCCACTCCATTGTTTGTCCTGTGCTTTGAGTCACATTCTTCATGAGGCTTGGTGCATACAGCTAAGCTAACTTTGTCGAGAGCCTGGGCAACAGAAGAAAGAAACCCGCTCACCTCCTGTAGCCTGAGTTCCATACTCCTAGTAGTGTGGCCACAGCCCACAGGGAACCTGGCAGAATGAGGCAGTCAAGAGAGGAAAGTAGTCAACAGAGTAGGATGTGGTCCAGGCCAGATGGAGCTACTGGTTGGCCCTAATTGCCTGGGCCTGCCCTCCCTATCCTCTCATTTCTACCTCTTTACCTCCCACCCTGACTGCAAACCTCCCCACCCGTGTTCATTAATGAAAATTTTTTAAATATAGAAATAATTTTTTTCAAGAATAAAAGAATATCAAGGTCACTGTTGTCCCATCAACAATAGGCCAACCACAGATTCCATTTTGGCATCAGTTCTGCTTGTCTATTGTTTTTAGACATCTCTGAAATATTTCGGTAAGTACTTTCCATGGCTAAGCTGGTCCTATCCAACACACAATTTCAGATTCTACTTTTTTCAGATTATTGAACAGCATCAGCTTTTTCTTGTGGCCCTCCATATCCTCCAGTTCCAAATCCAGAGAATCAACAGAAGGTACATTAAAAATATTCTTTAAAAAATTATGTCTGTACTACACAGGTCCATACTTTTTTCTTGTCATTACTCCCTAAACAATACAATCTGACAACTATTTGCATAGCATTTGCATTGTATTGGATATTATAGCTGATCTAGCCATGATTTAAAGTATGTTGGGAGGATTTAAAGTATGTTGGAGTATGTGCATAGGTTTTAAGCAAATACTACACCATATTATATAAAACTGGAACATCCTTGGATGTTCTACTATCCTCAGAGGTCCTGAACCCATCCCTCAGGGACATCAAGGGACAACTGTACAATTGACAACAACTAAGGCAATAGACCTCACAGAAGTTTAAAGTGATTTATTTTCGTATACCCACTGAACTCTCATTACAAGCCTGGGAGATCAATACTATTCTTATGCTAATTTTGCAGTTGAGGAAAACAGATTCAGAGAAGTTGAGTGATTGGTTCCCACAGCTAAGTAAGTGAGAGCACTGGGATTCAAACTCAGGCAGTCTGGCTCAGAACCACCACACTAAGCTGGCTGCTACTGTGGAAATTTGTGGAGCATGTTATTACCAGCTCTGTGTCATGGTATATTCTGTAGCTGTAACACCTCTTCTTCACCTATACCCTCCAGATGTGTTGGAGTAAGACTGCTGTCAACAAGACTTTAAGACACTCATTGTGTAAATACAATTTTTTTGTGTATTTTGGACAGTCTCACAGACCAAATTTCTAGGTCAAAGAATACATACAGTTGCAGGGCTCTTGCTCCATACTGTTCAACAACTTTACGAGAGGTCAATCATTGGCACACTCGCCATCGGAAGAAGACACCTGCTCTGCCAACAGTGAGGGTATAACAAAGAGAACACACTGATATTCCAAACTAAGACATCCCAGGACAGGACCCAGTGGATATGAAGTCTCCTAGCCTCATCAACACATGAGATTTTCTAGAAAATGGTCTGAGAAACATGTTCATTATTCCCAGGCCCCTTGGCCATTCTAGGTTTGAAAAGAGAGTCAGGGCAGGGGAGTACCTGAACGAAGGAGAAGGGAGCAGAGAGGCCCTTAAATTCAGAGAGGAAACATGGAAGCTGAGGGACCAAGTGATCAGGTATTCTGCTCCGATCTTAGAACCTACTGTGTGCTCAAAGTTTAGCTCACACTAGCCCAACTTTAAGCCTTTGCACAGATAAGCAAACTGGACAAGGATTGCAGGTGGGTCAGTTTATTGAAGAGCCAAGACCATCTAATGTGACCTGTCACCCCAAGGAAGTGATAATTCTGTGGGCTGTCAGAAGTTGCTCATAACTCCTCCCTTCCCAGGACCTGCAAATGGGGACTGAGGGAAGATATAAGTGGGACTTCCTGGCCTTGGCAGTCTGCAGTCACAGCTGTTATCCTACCATCACTTCAGCCCGAGGCAGGAGCTGGCAGGAGCATGAGGTGGATTCTGGGTTTGAGTCTCACCCTGTGCCTGGTGGTACAGACAGCCCTAGGTAAGACCCTCAACCCTTCCTGAGAGTGTCCGCCAGGACAGGTCCCAGCTCAACCTTTCCTGGACAGTGGGGCRGGGGCACTTAGACAAGGTCTAAGCAGATGGAGGGCGGAGTTTCAGGGCACTAATCCACCCACCCACCAGTTGAAAGTCTAAACAAGTCCTTTGGCTTCTCTGAGCCCTAAGACTGCTCTACAAAATGAGAAGGGCATCTCCTGCCCCGCCCCCCCGCCACCTCCCTACCCCTGGACAAGTGAAGGGCCTTCCTTCTTTCCCTCCTTCCCTCCTTCCTACTTCCTCCTTCTAAGCAGGAGGCCTGCTTCTGCCTCCCTCTCCCCTACACGGACCTGCTCAATTCTCCCCAGTGTCTTTCTCTTTAAAATTACTATTGTGCTTTTTACTCTGTAAAAAAATATAGCGCATTTAGGTATATTAGGTAACCTTATTTAGGTATGAGACATATACAGCAAGGTGCACATATCTTAATTATACAATATTATATTACATATAAAATAACCACCATCCAGATCAAGATCTAGAACATTCCCAACATCCCACGTACCCATTCCCAATCAATACCTTCAAAGTGAACAACAGYTTGACTGCTGTCATAAATTAGTTTTGTCTATATAAATGCATATTTTTTTTAATTTGAGGGAAACTTTGCTAAAACTGCTTTAAGCGTTTTGCTGCCTTTTCTTTTGTYTTTTTGTTGCACATTTCTAACATAGCTGTGATATTAGCATGTATGTATATTTTATATGCTGCCCTTTTGTTTTGTTTTTTCACTTAAAATCTTATTGAGCTAGGCATGGTGGCACATGCCCATAATCCAAGGTTCTCAGGAAGCTGAGGCAAAAGGATTGCAAGTTCAAGGCTATTCTGGATGACTTAGAGAGACCCTGTCTCAAAACAAAAAATAAAAAAGACAGAGATGTAGCTCAGTGGTAGAGTGTCCCTTGAGTCAATTCCCAGCAACACAAAAAAAAAAAAATTTTTTTTCAGAAGGTAATTTWTACCTTGAGTTTACAGTTATATTTACTTTACTTCATCCCCAGATATAAATGATCCTTCCATTGTCCACTGGGTTCAGAGCAGTCTTTRTTATGCAGGTATGGTGGAGCAGCCTGTAATCCCAGCTACTTATGAGACTGAGGTAGGAGGATCTCAAGTTCAAAGTCAGCCTGGGCAATTTAGTGAGAACTTCTTCTCAAAGTAAATTTTTAAAAGGGAGGAGGACAGGAGATGAAGCTCATAGGTAGAAAGCTCCTGGATTCAACCCCCAGTATGGTAGGGGTGGGGAACAGAACAGTCTCTGTTTTTAATATTTCTATTTTCAAAGCACAGGGGTCCAGAAATGAAATTACTGACTAAAAATATGTGAACTTTTTATATATTTTACCAAATTATTTTCCCAATGCATTGTATCAATTTATTCTTCACCAACAAACAGATGTCCTTTTCTCTGTATCTTCACCAGAACTAGGTGCCATCATTTTTTCATTTCTCAGCTGGCAGCTGAAACTCCAGGTGTTGGTTAGCACAATTCATGACTGCCAATAAGGTAGATAGTGTTTTCATAAGTGCTTCCATGTCACCTCTGAGTAGCAGAGATGGGATCAGGGCCACTCCATGGAAGCTCTTATTGGGAGGTTMGAGTACTCAGCCCCATGGTTAGGGGGTGGGAAGTGGACCAACACCACGGGTTAGAGAACAGCTCTGATGTGAAATCTTTCTATGTGACCTTGGGCGAGTTGTACACACTTTTGAGTCTCCATTTCAGCAACTGCTTAGTACAATTTGCCCTATGAAAGTTTGGGGGAAATGAGGTGAGATACATAGTGTTGGGCTATAGGAAGAAATCCATAAAGCATAGCTATTAGCTATTCCATCATGAGTGGCCCCTGAATTCAGGGAAAAATCCAGGTCATATGACAAAAAAAAAATACTGACCTGCTGACTTTGACCCATGAGACCACAGACTGGTCACTGTCCTTTTCAGGGCTTTCAGACCTCCCCAGGCTCTTCCAGGGCCAATGAGAAGCCCATTTGAAAGAGTGTTGGRAACTGTAAATGGCGGCACACATAGAGAAGGGGTGAGATGGGCCTTTGCCCTGCTGACCTGCCTCCATGTCCAAAGTGCCACCATTACAGTCACTCCCTTGTGTCCCTATATTGCTTATGTAAGATCAGAAATGGGGAGACCTGGAGACGTGGGCAGGAAAGAATTTTTTGGCCACCTGCAGCTGGGAGTGTGAGAGTGTGCTCTATCACACCAATCCAAAAATCAATTGCAACAAGATTTCCTGGAGATATTTGCAAATCTAATTTCCTGATGCAATCCTGAGATTCTCATTCAGAGAGTGTGGGGCATGGCCTAGGAATCTGTATTTTTGCAACAATCCCCACGTGATTCTGACACACCACAAGGTTTAGTAATTACTTACATCAGATTTGCAGAATAAGGGATGTGAGGCCTAACCAACCCTTGGCAGTAGGAATGGGGCAGGATGAGAGATTAGAAGAGAAGAAAGTACCCAAAGGCAGGAAGAGAGTTGGATTCAACTTGGTCTCTCTCCTATCTATTCCAAGAGCTGGCTATGGTACCAGCATGCTTGTGTGTGTGTGTGTGTGTGCGCGCGCGCATGTGTTATATGTATGTATGTTGTGGATTGGATACATTGCAACCTATGTATAACTATACTTGAATACCTGTGTGCATATGTGCATACAGATGTTGTAATGGAAGCTCGAAAGTATGTGTAACTTGTCTAAGGTCATGGAAAGTGTCTCACATCAGGGCTCTGCTCTAAACCTGCTGTATTGAATTTCTGCATGTTTCTTTGTGAATGAGCTGTGCTCCTGTATACCTAGTATGCACAAATTTGGACATACACATGAGTATTGATTCAAGGTTCCATATGAGTGAGAATATGTATGTTTGTGTGTGTGTATATGTGTGTGTGTGTGTATATGCATATATATATATATATATATATATATATATATAAATTTTTCCCTGAAACAAGACGGGCAAATATTAGTAACAAAAAAAGAGACGTTGCCATGGCTGGGATTGTGGCTCAGTGGTAGAGCGCTCACCTGGCATGTGCGAGGCCCTGGGTTCGATCCTCAGCACCACATAAAAGTAAATAAAATAAAGGTATTGACAACTATAACTAAAAAATAAATATTTTAAAAAAGAGAAATGTTGCCATATTAATAGCAGATAAGCAGAAATTAAAGTAAATGACATATTTATTGACATCAAATGATTCAAAGAGAAATAGACATATAAAAAAACATGAAATTTTATGTAACTACCAACATGACTTTGAAATTTTAAATGAGAGAAAAAAAAATGCTGAGAGAAGTACAAGAAAGTGAACATTGACACAATTGTTATGAATAGCTTCAAGCTTAGCTGGGTGCAGTAATACATCACTATAATCCCAGCAATTCAGGAGGCTAAAGTAGAAGGATTGCAAATTCAAGGCCAGACTCAACAGCTTAGCAAGACCCTGTCAAAGAAAGAAAGTGGGGAGGAAGTAAAGAAACGAGAGAGAGAGAAAGAGAGAGAGAGAGACAGAGACAGAGACAGAGACAGAGACGGAGAGGGGGAAGGGGAGGACACAGAAAGGGAAAGGAAAAGAAGGGAAAGTGGGGGCTGGGGATTTGGCTCAGTGGTAGAGCACCCCCGGATTCAATCCTCAGTACCAAAAAGAAAAAAAAAATGCTTCAGACTTTTTTATTGAAATGAAAGGCAGTAGCTGGTTCCCATGGCAGAGGGGCCAGAGTTCTATCTGTGGTTGAGAGTGACCAAGCTGGGATGACCCTTCTCCCTTCTCTTCCCAGGTGCCTTGCACACCAAGAAGCCTCTAGTGGTCACCAAATACGGGACACTCCAAGGCAAGCAGATACTCGTGGGGAAGACACCCCTCCATGTCTTCCTGGGAGTCCCCTTCTCCAGACCTCCTGTGGGTTCCCGTAGGTTTGCTCCTCCACAGCCCCCGAAGCCCTGGAAAGGAATCAAAGATGCCACTAACTACCCACCTGCGTAAGCCCAAGGACTGTCAGCTGGGAGGTGGGCAGAGCCTGAGGAGGGTGGTGGGTCAGGCTTTGAACAATTCACTGAGACCACAGGCAGGCCTGGGCCCATTCTAGGCCTCAGTTTCCAAACCTGTACAATATGTTGACAGGTCCAAATGGGATTTAAGGCACTGATAATGCTATTCTAGGTTTCTCACAGGAGAGCTCCAGGCAAGGGGGAGGTGGTCCCTCACTGTATCCTAGGGCCTGCTTGGAAGCTAGGTTTTCTAAACATGTCTGAGGAGCTGTGTGCTCACTCACAGCACAACCCTGAGTTCTCTCCTCTGGAGCTTGATATCCAAGACAAACCCCCATGGCACTACCAGTCCTTGCCTGCAGAGGGAGCTTCAAGATGGGTAATGCACAGGCTCAATTTCAGTCCCTGGGTCTTGTGGCCACCTCCTGCAGGGCTCAAGGCATGAGGAGTCACAAAGCAAGATTGGAACAATAACTGCCCTTTGAAGCAATGGACTTGGTAGTTTATTCAGAACAAGTGTATTTATTGTTTATTGTTTATTCAGAGCATGGAGAAATCTATTGCCCAGAATATTCTATGGCATTCATAAACAATGTTCAGCATCAGCTGGTCAAAGCACAAGTTTAGAAAAATGTCTGAGAACTTGGATGTCAGTTACTATAAAAAAGCTACAAATCCCATCCTGGGTGACCGGTTGTTAAGAAGAGGTTCCACTGCTAGAATAGGACCGACCAACCAACCAATGTAGGGCAGAGGTTGTATCATGCAAGAGGCCCTGGGTTCCATTCCCAACACAGCAAAACAAAAACATTATCACTATTACTAGAATACTGGGATATTAGTTGTGTCAACACTGGCTGTCAAAGTGTGAACACTGGCATTCTAACAATGTTCACAAACATGTTCTAATAAACATTCTGAGACTATTATTTGGAGCCCTGAGCATCAGGGGACAGAACATGGAATGACCATTGCTAGAAATCCTGAGGATTGGGGCTTAGAGATTAGGGTGTCTATTGCCTAGATATCTAGGCATCCATTGTTGGAACACTGGCCATTAGCTGTTTGAACAAGGGCTGTTTGAAACGGAGTGTCAAATGAAAGAGTCTGTGGATTGCTTAGAAACAACCTGTAGGGTGGGGATTAAGGAAGAGCAGCCTCTCTAGGAGGCTGTTGCAGACATAGGGGTTTCTACCAGTGTAGTTACAGCCAAGGTGATAGAAAATGGTCAGATTCCACATTCATTTTAAAGGTAAAATTGATGGAATTTACCAGAAAATTGGTTATGACTCACAAGGAAAGAAGAGAAGCCATGGATAATAACTAGTTTCTAGCCAGAGCAGCCAAGGGAATAGGAGTACCATTTCCCCAAATGGGGAAGAGTGGGGCAAGAGCAGGAGTGGGAAAACACAAGTTCATTTGGGACACGTTAAGTCTGGCATGCAGATAGATGTCCATGTGGAGATATGGAATAGGTGGTTGGATGAAGGGGGCCAGAGGCAAAACTGATCATCAGCATGAAAATGGCAGGAGTGTTTCAATAGAGTAAAGCCCTGGGCCTAGATGAGGACAATTTGGTAAAGAACAGTCAGAAAAAAAGAGAGAGAGAGAGAGAGAGAGAGAGAGAGAGAGAACTGAGGGTTGAGGCCTAGGCACTCTTATGCTGAGACCTGGGAGAAGATGAGGAACCACCAAGGAGGTAGCAGGAAAATCAGGGGAGTGAGGTATTACAAAGATGAAACACTGTTAAAGAATGTGGTGGGGGGAGCATGGTCAACCACACTGAAGGCTGCCAGGCCCAGTAAGACAACAGCAGGCATTTAGCAAGATAGAGGTCTTTGGTGACCATGTTGGGAGTAGCTTTGGTAGTAGGATGGGAACAGAAGCCCCTGCTGTTCCTAACCCAGTTCTTGGCTAGAAAGCCCCAACCTTCCTGGTGAGAGGCTGGGTGTGGTCGTTGGACACCAACATTAGCTGCTACCTGAGGAGTCAAGCAAGCAAGAGCAAAGACATTCTAAAGTGATAGAGAGATGTTACCTGCTGAGGACTTTAGAGAATCTGAGTGGGGCTGGGGTCAAGGGAGAAACCATTGAAAAATTCAACCTGGCGGGGGGGAAGCTAAAATAGTTGCTGGGGAAGGTGAATGGGAAATGATAGGTTTAGATAAGCCAGGTGGAAGTATTGTTTGGAAGGACAGATGAAAGGGGACAGCAATGCTCTAGGGACAGGATAGGAGGAAGAGAAGGAGTAGGCAGACTGGGTTTCCTGTACTCAATCAAATAGGTCCAGCTCCACCCTAACAAGAATAGAAACCCTAGGGTTTGACCAGAAGGCAGAAAAGTTGAAGCAGCCAGACGTCCACACTCTACAAATAGCCACACAATGCAGGACATTGGGCTGGGTGTCAGAACTCAGATAAATCCACTACTGTCCCTGCCCTCAGAGAGTACTTGGTCACTTGGGGAGAAAAACAACCAATGGAAATAACTCCAACAAGTACCACAGGGCTGGTACAAGAGCTGGCCTTAAACATGATTAGAGGTTTGGTGGGCAGGGCAGGAGACACTTGGCTGAGGGGGAAGAGGCACCAGGGCTTGAAGTTGGGAGGCAGGCAAGTGGCCATATGTATCTGGAGCCAAGGTTGGCTGGGAAGGAGGTGACTGAGTGGGAAGGAGGGCCAGRGTCAGTTTGCTCAAACTTCATCTGAGGGCAGTGGGTAGCCAGGGAAGTTTGAAGAAGGGAAGTGACATGGTCAGTCTTGTGGGTTTTGTCAACCTTTCTGGCTAGAGTGTAGAGGACAAGGTGGAAAAGCATAAGAGACTGGGGCAGTGTCCAGACCAGAGATTTGATAGCCTCGCCAATGCAACTTCCAGGGGATGGAGGGGACAGGGTATATTCTGAAACTGTTTGGGATGCMGATGGGAAACTGAGGGGGAGTGGGGGTTGAAAAACAGACACCAAATTTCTCTCTCCACAACACCAGCAATCTCCAGCAGGAGCAAGGAGTCACTTCTATCCCAAGATCAATGGAGAAGGATGGGCCCTGGAGTGACCCACCTATCTCCCAGGCCTGTACCCCAAGACTAGTGGAGGCCTCCAGGGACACACACACACACACACAGACACACACACACACACATACACACACAGTAGTTGCCTGGATTCTTGTTTTGGTTCTATCCCCTCACTGCAGACACTGGTTGGAAACATTGTACCCGCAGGTGCCTTCAGGAGTCTTGGGGACAGATAACTTCCATGTACTTAAACACGGGGAAACAATACAAGTGGCTGCGCTTCAGCGAGGATTGCCTGTACCTGAACGTGTACGCGCCGGTTCACGCCCATGGGGACCCTCTGCTGCCGGTGAGCACTCTGCTACCCACGGTCCCACTCTGCTACCCACAATCCCACTTTGTTACCCACGGTCCCACTCTGACTTGTTTTGTGGGACAAAACCAAGTCCCACAGAAGGCAATGTTGAGACTTGAGACACTCAGTGAATCCAGTGCTGATACCCGGCTCAGGCCCTGGCCTTCCTCGCCCAGGTGATGGTCTGGTTCCCRGGAGGCGCCTTCCTTGTTGGCTCGGCTTCCACTTACGAGGGCTCTCAATTAGCAGCCCGTGAGAAAGTGGTGCTGGTGTCTCTGCAGCACAGGCTGGGCATCCTGGGCTTCCTAAGGTGAGCTGCTCCAGGCAGAGAAGGCAGAGACTAGTGGAAGGGGAAGGGCATGGCCTGTGGGTGGGACCACCGAAGATGGTGGCGAGGGTAGTGCCTAATATTTGCTGAAAGGGGCATAACTCCATACTGTCTCAAAGGGGTGATCCTTCCTCTATGGAAGCAGGTGTGGTTGCAGAATTAGGTCTCAGTGGGGAAAGAAAGCAGGGTGGGGTTCAGGTGGAAGCCCTCTGCATCCCGACCTTCGAAATTTGGGTCCCTGATYGTGAACCCCTGGGGGCCCAGCACCAGTGACAAGGAGGCCCGAGGCAACTGGGCGCTGCTGGATCAAATTGAGGCTCTACGCTGGGTTCAGGAGAACATTGAGGCCTTTGGTGGAGACCCAGACAGCGTGACCTTGTTCGGGCAGTCGTCGGGGGCCATGTGCRTTTCAGGACTGGTGAGCATGATGTCCTAATGGACCAGCACAAACACAGGCTCCCAGGTTCCATAATTGTAACTTCCACTGGCACGTGCACAGATCTGCGTGTACATGAACATGCCTGTTTCCAGATCTGCCTTCACTGCTTCCAAGGATACCACTCTTGTCAAAGGTACCACCCCTCTTAGCAAAGGGTATCTGCTCTGTTCAGGGATAGCACTGATGACAAAACAGAAGGGAATGTTGAGACTTGAGACTCTCAGTGAATCCAGTGCTGATACCCAGCACTTCCTGCCTACCTACTTTCTCCCAGCACTGTATTCCCTGAACAGAGCCCACTATCTGCCCTCTGAGCAGAGCTAGAGTCACAAACCAGGCCTGGAAGTTAGGGCCTGGGTTGGAGAACCAACTTTGACCCTGACTCTGGGGTCTGCTGACCTGGGGTGTGCCTGGAAGCACACAATTCTGTGAAATGAGCAGGGATCATGTAGGGCCTTGCAGGTCACCACTGTAATAATAATACGCAAACACCTGAGCACTTTCTGTGTGCCAGGGACTCTTCTAAGCAGCTTATATATATTCCTTCATTTGAGTCCATTAATAGTTCCAAAAGAAAAGTATTGTTGTCCTTATTCCACATATAAAGAAACTGAGGCCTAGAGAAATGAAGCAACTTTATGCAAAGTGCACTGGAGAGCAGGGACAGAGTTGGATTTAGATGTGGATTCAGAGGCAGCTCAGTCTGCTGTATGGGACTGAATTAGAAAGAAGTGGGAAAACACTTGGAAGACCAACGAGATAATGGAGGTGGGCAGGAAGGATGGAGAGTAAAGGGTGGTGGCAGAGTGAGGCACACTGTCACATWGACAGGACTTAAATAGGACTTGGGGATAAGTAGAGGAAATAGGGAAGGTCCCTATTGCTGTATGGATAGTGTGGGTGCCATGACAGTCAGCTGGAGTTTGGATGCAGCAGGTGTGGGGCATATGAATTCTGAGGACAGGATAGGAAGCCAGAAATGTGGTTGTTCTCCAGACTGGGGCAATAGAAAGACWCTAAGAGCTATCAGCACAGGTAACTGGGACTGTAGGAACCACAGGGTCTCTCCTTTATCCTCATTTCTAATCCTATAGCAGAGAAAGACTCTTTACCTACACTAGCAGATCCTTTCCCGCAATCTCAGATTCCTTCTGCACAAACCAGAGGCAGGAAGGCATTGGCTTTAGGTCTGTGACTCCAGCCCAGGATTCCTGGCTCCATCTCAGCTGCTTGTCCTCCTTGAGCCCTTTTGGGCTACTCAGCAATGGCCAGATAGGCACCCCAAACAGCCTAAGTGGCCTTACTTGTGCTACTCATGGATGCCCTGCTCCTCACCCCTACAGATGTTGTCACCTCTAGCCCAGGGTCTCTTTCATCGGGCCATTTCCCAGAGTGGCACTGTGCTATTCAAAGTCTTCATCACTCGTGACCCATTGAAGGTGGCCAAGGTGGGTATCTCTCTTCCCTCAGGGCTTGGTAATTGGGCAGAATGGGGCATCCCTGAGCACCCATGCATCTCTCTACAGGAGGTTGCTCACCTGGCTGGCTGCAACCACAACAGCACAAGGATCATAATAGAGTGTCTAAGGTCTCTATCAGGGGCCCAGATGATGCATGTGTCCAGGAAGATGGTAGGTAAAGCATTCTAGCTGCCTGATCTGGCTGCCTGCAAGTTATAGTCACCAGGGAATCTATTTCAAGAGCACATTGAGGAGATTTCTTTAACTCTGATCCCCTCATCTCCCCCCACAGAATTTTTTCCACTTTAACTTCCAGAAACAACCTCAAGAGGTAAGCAGGCCACTTTCTGCAACTTGAGTATTTATTGAGCACCTATGGTGTTCCAGGCACTCGGGATACTCAAGGAATTCTTGAAGTCAAGATCCCTCCCTTAGTGGAACTGATGTTCAGTGGGGAGAGACAATAAACCCTATAAATTAATAAATTATTCACCTCCTTAGAAGGTAATAATCAATTGGCCACAAGTGGAGAGGGCAAGGAGGTCAGGCATGGTGGGAGTGATAGAATTTTAAATACAACAGATAGTGTAGGCCTCATTGCACTTGATCATAGCCAAAAGGCAATGAAACAATACTGCAGGCCTATGTCCATGAAGTGACATTTTTCAAAGATTTTCAAGAGATGAGGGAGTGAGCAATGTGGACATGTGGGGAAAGCATCACAAGTCTGAGTAGCCTGGTTCTGTCTGTCCTGTTCCCTTCTCACACCCACCTTCCTAGAGGTCACCATGGCCATTCCCAGTTTTTTCCCAAAGAGCCTAGGCTAGAGAAACCCCTGGAGGAGGACCTACTGAGCTGGGCACCCAAGGTCAGAGCAACCCTGGGAAGACATGTGAGATCACTGGCTGGAAACACCCTGGCTTTGCAGATCATMTGGTTCCCGAGCCCTGTGGTGGACGGTGTGGTGTTCCCAGTTGACCCTGTGGTGCTCCTGACCCAGGGGCAGGTTTCACCTGTACCCTATCTTCTAGGTGTCAACAATCTGGAGTTCAGTTGGCTCTTGCCTTATGTAAGTGAGTGGGGTAGCAGAGGATGCTTCTTGGAAAATGTTGAGCACCAGGTTAGATCCCAGTAGCCTCTCTGGGGATATACAAGTATTTGGGAACCTCCTGTATTCCCTACACAGGGAGATCTGGCTAGGAATGATGGAGGAGAGGGGAAAGACTTGTGGCCTCTTAGAGGTTTTGAGGGCCCTAAATCCTCACTCAAGTCATAGGTGAGATGGATTATAATGTCCATTCCTGAGCCCCCAGACAACTACAAGTCCTGGGTCTCTCCTTTTCTCCCACATCTGGGTCAATTCCCCAGCTCAGAATGGGCCCTCCTATCCCCACTTCAGCTCTAGATCAGGTGGAAGTGACAGAAAGCAGAGCAGGACAGGATCATGGGCCTTTCCTGGGCTGTGTGCTCTGTCTGAGAATTCTCCATTCAAGATGGGCAAGATCTCAGACGTAACCCCCACACCGGGGTCCCTGTCTTGGGAGCAGATCATGAAGCTCCCACGAAACTGGTATTCATCGAAGAAAGAAGTTCTCACCAGGCTGCTCTGGATTACCAGCACCCTGTTGGTGAGGAGCCCAGCTGGCAGGGGTGCTCAGTTTGAACAGAGCTGACACCCCTCCTTTTATTCTTTCTTACCTCGTAGGTGCTGTCTGTTAAGAGCCTTCAGCCTGGGTCAGGGTCTTTCTTGGAGGGCCCAAAGGGGTTTGGAATGGGATTAGATAGTTGCCCATGGGCAAGGTCCCTGGAGAATCCTCAGGGTCGTGGGAGGCAGTTCTCATGCAGCAAAACAGGGGTAAAAACCAGCCAAGATGGAGGCCTTCCTGGGAAGCTCCCCATCCCAAAACTCCTGGGGGGCTGAGGCTGGATCCAAGTCACTGGTRTGCCCACTTATGGCCTAGCTGGCACAACAGGCCTCAGGGTGGGTATGGCCTCCCCACCCAGAATGTCACTAAGGAGCAGATACCACTTGTGGTGGAGGAGTACCTGAACGACATCCCTAAGCATGACTGGAAGGTGTTCCGAAACCATGTGATGGACCTAGCTGGAGATGCCACCTTTGTGTACACCACGCTGCAAGCAGCCCGCTACTACCGGGGTATGGGAGGAGATGTCCCCAAGAGTGACCACACTGTTCCCCTCCATTTTCCAACTACACTGCTTTCCAACTGAGTTCATCAACTGCTCCCCTACCTACCCTCTCTGTACTTCTGGGCTGGTGTAGGACTCCAAGATGCCACAGAGAAGGCAGAGAGCTATCAATTGTACAACAGGAAGGGTTGTTCCCTTCTTTGTTCCCAGAGCAAGGACTCACCCAGCCCTAAGGAGAAAGCTAGTGTGTCTAGGAAGTTTTCCTGGCTGAGAGGACAAGCTTAGGAGCAACTTGACAGTCCTGCCTAAGTTGAATGGAGCTTAGGCATCTTAGGCAAAGCTAGGGCTGGAAAACAGATAGTCACCGAAGATCCTTAAATGCCTGGAAAGAATGGGAAGTTCAGAAAAGGAAAGAGGAAGGCCTCCATGATCTTTGCCATAATCCTGTGAATTCAATTTTATTGTCCCCATTCTGCAGATGAGCAGTTGCAGCTCAGAGAGGTTGAGAGGCTTGCCCAGGGTGTTACAGCTAACAAGTAGTGCAGACAGGATTCAAATATGCTCTCTTGATTCTGAAGCTGAAGCTCTTTCTCCTTCTTGATACAGTGAGTGGGATACATGGGGTGGATGGGAATCCCAGGCTGGGCTTTTCCTGCAGCCCTCTCTGGTGTCCCCATTCACAGATGCTGGCTCCCCTGTTTACCTGTACGAGTTTGAGCACCACGCWCCCTCGGGCATAATTGTCAAACCTCGAAATGATGGGGCAGACCACGGGGACGAGATCCGCTTCATCTTTGGGAGCCCGTTCTCCAAAGGTGCTAAATCCCTGCCTCGGTATTTATTCCCCCCATGTGTTTATGCAGATCCGCCCCTCCAATGGCTGGCCACAGGGAGCTAGCCAGTTCCTCGTATGGGATCCTCTCCCAAATGAAAGTCTTGTGCATAGCTGAAGGTTGGCACCCCAGCTCTGTCCCAAATACCACATCCCCTTCTGCCTCCAGGCTCATTCACAGATGAAGAGAAGGCACTCAGCCTCCGGATGATGAAATACTGGGCCAACTTTGCCCGCACTGGGTGAGTAGTTTGATCCCCTGACTCATCTGGGTCGTGCTAGACCTGAAGGCTGGCTGCTTTGGGTATTTGCCCCTGCATGTCCCAAAAGAACTGCACAATCAGCTGGACCAGGATGCCCCTTCCCCCTCACCTTTTCCCAGTCAGTCACAAGATCCTAAATGTCTACAGGATGTGATCCTCTCTGTCACATGACCGACATTCTACACTCACTCTCTTTGTGTACCCATCCCCTGTACTGGGGAGCTGGAATTCAAGGATGTCACAGATGTGCACCCCATGCTCCTATAGTTCACTAGATAAAAACAAAAATCAGGCACAATGAGAGCTGTACCAGGTGGAACAGTAGGCATTTTGAGAATATTGAGGAGGTATCTGATCCAACCTGGGTGGGCAGAGGAGGCTTCAGTTGGAGGTGACAACTATACTGAGCTTTGGCTGCCTCCTGACTATTTTTATATCTCCACATTCTCCAGCGCCTACCATGATACTAGACGGGTCTGCCTGAAATATCGTTTGACCTCCTTAAAACCTTTTGTGGCTCCCAGGTGCCCCCAGAATAAAGTCCCATACCCTTAGACTGCATGACAGCCTCTCCATTAATCTTTCCTGTAGCTGGGCTTGGTGGCACACACCTGTAAACTCAGGGACTTGAAAGGCTGAGACAGGAGGATCACAAGTTCAAAGCTAGCCTCAGCAACTTAGCAAGACCCTGTCTCAAGAAAAATTAAAAATTAAAAAAAAATAAGAACTGGGGATGTAGTTTAGTGCCCCTAGGTTCAATCCCAGCTCAAAAGAAAAAGAAAAAGAAATGTGATCCCTTTGCACTTTCCTTCACATACACCCTGTTCTCACCTAACCCTGAACTTGTGCTTCTTCTAAAGCCCTGGTCTTCCATATGTTTAATCCCTGAACATGCTATTCCGTCTGCCAGGAAGCCACACCCCTTCCAACTCTTTCTTAAATATCTGTTTAAACATCATCTCCATAAAGTCCTCCTAATCTCCAATGCCCAAGGAGAAGGTAAATGAGGGAAGGGTAAGAGGAGGTGGAACAAAAGGGAGGGGGAAAAATCCTCTCGCCTTTCTCCTCTGGAATAGGAACCCCAATGATGGGAAGTTGCCCTGCTGGCCACGCTATGACAAAGATGAAAAGTATCTGCAGCTGAACCTTACCACAGGAGTGGGTGTGAAGCTCAAGGACAAGAAGATGGCCTTCTGGAGGAGACTGCACCAGTCTCAGAGACCTGAGAAGCAGAAGCAATTCGGAGAGTGACCATATGGGAGGAAGCCAAAGGGCTTGTCCTATCACCCAGGCCTCCGGGAGAATGGCTATGGGTACACCTAGGGACAAGAGTCCTGCCCACTCAATCTAGGATCTACCACAGCTCCCTACTGCCTCCAGGCCAGAGTTGGAGACTTAGCCTCTTATTTGGAGCTCTGCACCACCCTGTGCAGCCTAACATCCCATGATGCCATGACGGTGCCCCACAGCCTTAGGACAACCTCTTCTCTCCCTTCTCTAAGTACTCCCACTCTTCAAGATCTACTTGAAGCCACTTCTTATAGGAAGTTCATGCAGACTGCCACAGCCTGTCATTGCATCCCACTTGTCACTTATCATTCATCCTGCTCAACTTCATGCCTGTTCCCACTGGTCTGGAAGCCCTAGGCAGGTTATTTGTGACACACAGCAAAGGTCTGTCGGCTTGAGATCTTCTCCCTTACCCGCACTCATTTCTCCCAGGGCCCCTCCAAAACCTGCACACAGGGCTGATTCTCAATAAAGATGGGTTGACTTGAACCTACAATTTTTCCATCAGTAAAATGGTTGGGTAAAGTGCATGGTGTCTCCACTTAAGCCCTTGGAGGTACAGAGCATTACTGCCTACTCCCTCCCTGGCTGTGCCTGCTAGGGTACACTCAATCAAGGGGAGCTGCAGCAAAGTTGCCTGAGCCAAAAAAAAAAAATACTTGGCTTGTTTCTTCACTGTCTCAAGCAAATGCCCTCAGGACATGAGGACCAGTCTCACTGTCCATTTGTTCAGGTCTTAGTGCTACAACCACACTACTCATTCTCTATTCTCTCCTGTAATCTGACTTGGGCATATCCAAATTTGTCCCACAGTTTTTGTTTCTTTTCTGTGAGTGTTTGTGTGTGTGTGTGTGTGTTTTCCTAATGGATAGAGGTTCTTGCCCTGTTGCCAAATTTGGCCTTGAATTTCTGGTCTTAAGTTATTCTCCTGCTTCAGTCTCCCCAGTAGCTGGGACTACTGGCTTTTTGTGAGTTTTGATGTGAAAAAAAAATTATATATATATATATAAAATTTACCCTTTAAAAATTTTCTTGTGGTGTTGGAGCCTGACTCACAGCAGGGGACATCCTGACTTTGGAGGTCCTGGGAGACTCACCCTGTGGCCTGCTGGCAGAGCTCCTAGTTTGGTCAAGGTCTTCTTCTTGGGGCTCCTCATTTTTTCCCTGCTATGGCTTGAATATGGCTTATCTCCCTGAAACTCAGGCTAGAGTTTAATCCCCACTGTGAGATATAAAGTGGGTGGAGATTTAATCAGACTATATAGTGTTTCAAGGTGAGGCTTTTGTGAGGTGATTAGGATTTGAATCCTGGTGGCTTTTTAAGAGGGAGAATAGTCTCTCTCTCTCTCTCTCTCTCTCTCTCTCTCTCTCTCTCTCTCCCTCCCTCCCTCCCTCCCTCTCTCCTTCCAGTATCTTGCCCTGTACTGCTTCCAGACTTTGCCAGCAAGAAGGTCATGACCAGATGTGGCCCTTCAACCTTGTACCTCCTGAATCATGAACCAAAATAAACTTTTCTATATAATCTGACCAATCAGTTGTATTGTTATTAGCAACAGAAAACAGATCAATACATCCCCTGAAAAAGATTCACTGATTGACCAAACTCTATTCAGGCTCCCCTGCACTTTTTCAATTAGCCCTTGCTTTGGGAATTCTGTGTTCATCTCTGCATTGTCCAATTTTAGGAAGAACACTGCCAAATCAGTTTAATCAGGGGCCCCTCCCATTCAATATCTGATCACTTTCCTTATCTAACTGGGTTCCTCATCTCCCAGTTGATGTCTGAGCACCCTGGCCTGTCTTCAGCAGGAATCCTGTAAGATAGGTGTAGCCAGAACTCCTACCCCAGACCCCTGAGGCTTCCTCATTAATTTTTCATCTACTGACCCTACTCTGTTCCTGACTATAATTTCCCACTTACCTACGTATTTGGAGTTGACCCAGTCTCTCTGCCCCACTGCAAATCCCCATTGCAACGGTCCTTATGCCAACTTTGGTGGTCTTGAATAAAATCTGTCTTCCCCAGCTGTAACATGTGTCCTGATTTTCGTAGAGGAAGTACAACTGAGAGGGAGCCAGTCAGGGTCCAGTCTGACTCATAAAGGACTCTGGGAAACCTTGGGACCTTCCTTAGGAAGTAACATGGAAGAACTTCAGCAGACAGCTTGGATAGGGAGGGGGACTGCCTCAGCTCCATACCCTCCCTATCCACCCAGGAAGGTGCTCACTTCAGGCCAGATCTTCCCGGGGCTACACAGCAGGATGAGGGCCCAGGGAGAACTACCTGCTGCTCTCCCTCCTCCTTAATTTCCTGTCCCCACTYAGCGCCCCCTAGTCCTGGCCACCCAGAGTGTTTTCTAAAAGCCCCACCTCGCGGGAAGCGGTTCTGAGAAATGATTGGATCTTGACGAAGACTCCAAGACACTTCTGCAGCTTCCTAWCCCCCTTTGGATTAACTCTGCGTGCCAAGGAGGGAGAGGACCAATGCGCACCCGTGCCAGGCTCGCGCGGGCACAGAGCGCACACACACTCCAGTCGCCCCGCAGCCCACCTGGGGCTGCCTGGCTAGCAGCTCCGGAAGCGGCACCCCCTCTTCTCCCCAGACACTCCCCCACCCTCCACCCACCGAGGCAGCAATTACTGGCCAAGACGGCTGGGGAAGGGCCAATTAGTGCGGGAGACGCAGCCCCTCCGCCTGGCGGGCTGACCGCAGCCCCCGCAGCGCGACAGCCGCCGCCKCCTCCTCCGGCCGCTGGCTCCCGCCGCTCGCCAGCCGCCCTCCGCAGCCCTCCCTGCCTGGCAGACTGCGCAGGCTGCCTGCGAGCCCCGGGGGACGCGCCGTCCGGCCTCCCGCCAACTGTGGTGATGGATCCGGCCGTCTGGCGCCAGGCCAGAGCCCCAGCGGACGCGAGGGCGCCGACAGCTGAAACTCGCCGCCGTGGTGGTGGGGCGAGCGGGGCGAGCGGGCTGGGCCCCCTGCGAGGACTTCTGAGCCCCGAGCCCCTGTGCCTCCGGCCCTTTCCATCAGTCACTCAATGGCAACTGGCGCGGTGGCGCGGGGAGRCCCAATCTCAGGCAGACAACTGAGGCCCTCCCAAGCAGGGTCAGCTTTTCTCAAAAGACTTCTTACCATCCCAGGCCYTCCCTCATTGCTTCTCCAAGACTGGGCAGCAGGATCCAGAGCTGTTACCTGATAGTGGCCATGACAGRGCCAGGCTTTAGAAACTCTTGGCTGGTGCTGGTTCGTGCCTCCAGTGCAGGGAGGTGGGTAGGAGGGTGAGTGGGCAGCACAGAGCCAGAGGCCCTCATTACAGACAAGTAAATGAATGCATGGGCTTCCTCCCCTGGGACGTTTCCCTGCATACCCTGCCTCATCCGTAGGCTTTGGGAGACCCAAGAGGGATCCGTCCTACTCTCCAGGAGCCTACAGGCTGCAAGGTCTATGGACTTGTCCAGGATCCCACCACCACCACCACACACAAAAAAAAGCCCAGGGGTTGGGGACACAGCAAGAAGAAAAGAGGGACTGGTAGAGAAAGCAGTGAGAGCCAGGGACTGTCACTTTAAGTCTTCCTCTTTTCCCAGATAACCCCTTTCCAGATGAAGCTGAGCATGCAAGATCCCCAGAGTGGGAAACAAGGTGGCTCTATGCTCAGGATATGCTACTAGGGGAGGGTTTAGTAGGCAAGGCCACAAATGGGGTTGGCCAAAGAGATCCTGCTGCACATTGTTTCCCCCATCAGTGCCATGAGGGACTGGGTTGGAGGTGCTGAGGCCCCTGACAAGTCCTAGGTGCAGGCCCCTTTTCTGTGCATTTTCTCTCATCCTCCACCCCTCTCTGATCTGGCTTCTCTGTGGGGGAAGTGCTAATAGGGGCCTGCAATACACTCTGGAAACTGAGCTATGTTGGGGGAGAGAGGATCACTTCTCTGGAATAAAAACTCTCCTTTCCATGTGCCAAGATCATTAATGGTGTAGAGAAGAGAAAGTGCCTGTGAGAAAATTGGGAGATCGAGACTGAACAATGAAGGGGCATAGAGATGGTGACACCACCTCAAGTACTTCATGGGATGAAGTGCAAATGCATGAAAGAATGGGGCCAGGGACAGAGCCAGATGAAAGGAACAAGGGAACAATTGGCCAAGAAAGTCAGGAGGTAGAGGAAAGGAAGGAGGAGGTGGTGGACACACAGGCAGTCAGGCAGATGTACAGARAACAGGGGCAGTGCTTCCCAGCCTGCAGGGATGGGGAGGAGGATCTGGACTCTAAGAAGATGGCACTGAGCAGGATTGATTTTTTAATTCACATTATCTGACTACTGAGATATCCTGGGGCTGGGAGGTGGATAGTGAGAGAAAGTGAAGGATATGGAAAACAACAACCCCGAGGGAGAAAAGAAGAACAATGGGTCCCAGGGAGAGAAGAAAAACAATGGGCTCTGGACTTTCACAATTTCTAGTTCTACAACTGCTTTCCTGACTGCCCAACTAACGCGTTCTGCTATGATTAAGTCTCACTGGGCCCTATAAAACTCAGACCCCTATTGTAACCAGTTGCCATTTTCTCTCTTGAAAATGTGCAACATTTTCAAGATCATTGCTGATCCATTGAGGTCTGTTTCCGTTTCTTTTTCTTTTTCTTTCATTTTGCTTTCAGAAAGGGTCAACSGGAGAGTTGTAGATCACAGGGGAGTTGACCTAACTTGGGCTGGACTGGGAGTCATGGAAGGCGTCCTAGAGGAGAATTTGTTAGGATCAGTGGGGAAAAGTGGAGAGACTGGATCAAGGAGAGGAAGGGGAATCTGTCAGCTAAAAGAACAGCAGGAGCAAAGACCTACAGGTAGGAATTACCTTG